TAGATCATCATAAAAACTCATGAAACGCGTAGAAAACCACTTTTTGAAATACTTTTCCGTTCGTGTGCCGTCGTCGTTGTCGTTGTCGTCGTTGGTGTTTGTTAACACGATATCTCAAAAAATAATTGATATAATCAAAATCTGGAAATGCCAAAAGTTTTGTGTCCAAAATACTTAGCTTAAGTTCGAAGATGAGCTATTTTCGATTTCACCCTGGGGTACTTGCCCTAAGAAAAACCTCAAAAAATTGACACTTTTGTATGGGAGATAACCGTTAATCGATTCCGATTGCCTTCAAACTTTCTGAGGTTTCATTTTTTGGAGAAAAATAATATCGCCAAAGAATGAAACCTCAAAATGTTTTTAGCCAATCGGAGTCGTTTTAGGCGTATCTCCCATGCAAAATTGTCGAAATTTCGACAAAAATGACCGATTTTTCAAGAATATTAAAATACAAGACCGCAGTTCTTGAGTTTTTAGTTACTTAATCTATTTTGTTGTTTCACAACAAACTATTTTTTGGCGCACTACATGAAATGTATTTCATCAAAGTAACTTCGAAGTAATATATTTTTTTGCAAAATGAATTACAAGATCTTGGTTTAATTTCTTTTTTGAAACATCTGCCTTTGGTTAAATTAATAATATAATAATATTAAATAAATAATATGAGCATAGAATCTAAAATCACTTTAATTCTGTTCGAGACTCAGAAAAATACTATACGAAAAATTTATGTAATTTTTAAACAACATTTGATAATAAAAATTTGATTGGGGCTTCGAGATATTATTCACTTATTTGTCGTTACTGCCACTGTTTTAAATTAAATAAAGAATATGAGCATAAAATTCAATTTCACCATAATTTGTTTCAACATTCAAAAAGTATCTAGGAAAAAAAAGTCTCAACTTATTAAATTGGTTCACCCAACATGTATCAAATCGCTTTTACTTTCAACCTAAGGAAAGTTTATTTACAATTATCACTTCATTTATGAAGGTGCAAATATCGATATATCTGGTATTCTTAGTTTTTGTCAGTACAATTGTGACTGAAAATTGATTTTAAAAAAACGTTGTTTAATTTAGTAAATTTAGACATTTTAAGCTAAATTCAACAATACATTGTTAGATGCTTAAGATACGTGGCTGCAGCACAACAAAGATACGATGCACTTAACGGCCGAAAACATTATTTCGATATGTCTCTTCTTCTAAATGCGATCATATTTCAATGGTATTTTAGCTGGCTGGTTGAAATAAATGTTTCAATTATTTGCAACTATCAGGAGTCGGAACGTTCGGAAAACCTAGATGGAGAAAGTATTTTTTTTTCTAGTTAGAGGTACGAATGTTCAAAATAGGGGCCAGAGTTTGTTCGAAAAAAAGATGCGCCGTAAATCGGGAGTGAAATGCACATATCTTGGAACTATTCACATTTTTTTAAAGATAAATAAAAGAACATAGAGCACTTTAATTTTTAGAGCAATAAAAGGCACATGGATAAGAGTATTCGACGATATTTGGGATATTTTCTTCTTATTTGATATATTACTGTTACTGAGTGAGCTGAGTTCATTTCATCTACATATCCGAGTATATATGTACCAATATCAATCAAGTACAACTAACTTACCCAAGATTACTCCATTGTGCAAACTTGAGGGATTTTTTATGCAATTTAAATTAATTACGACCAATGAAAAACACGATAAAAAGTTCTTTTACTAGTGATGAATTGAAGATAATTGAAAACGTGAGAACCCGGTATTGCGAATCATTTTTCAATAAATTTTCAAAACAAGCCAACGTATATAATGAATAAACGACCGATTCTATCGATATTATTCGATTTTCCTCCTCAGACATCTTTTTTGCGTGACATTGAATATTGTAATATATATACATCGACCACGAATGGAGAATAGATGCTCAATAGATGGTACAAAAGCTTAACGGTCAAACAATACGTGAAAAAAGGAACAAAAATAAAATACATAAAATTGCTTCCCTTACATATCTATTGACTAGATCGAGAGGAGTGTATGTGAAAAAATTCTAATATATTTTGAAAGAGGAGAGTATGATTTCTGTTGATTCTATCTGCGTTAAAAGGAAGTATGTTAGCATCCCGTCTAGTCTCCGCGGTTTTTCACGGTTTTCGCAGAACTGACAAAAGATAACAACATGGTGTCTTCGGCAAAGTTGTAGTACTCGAGGTTTTCTATAACATTGATGAAGACATCTATCTCTTATCTCTTATCAGTTGCGCGCAAATCGCGCACATAAAAAAGCAAATTTTATATAGAACTTTTTTTTTCTTATCATTTTTCGCGCTTTTCGCGGAACTGATAAGAGATAAGAGATAACTGTCTTCAGCAATGTTATAGAAGACCTCGAGTGCTACAACTTTGCCGAAGACACCAAGTTGTTATCTCTTAGCAGTTCCGCGGAAACCGTGGAAAACCACGAGGACCCGCCAAAAATGAACATACTCGCCTTTAACCATTTTTGAGTCGAAAGAAACTTACTCTTCTCTTTCATAACAAAGTCAGATGAACTTACTCTCCTCTCGATCTAGTCAATAGATATTAAGTATGCTCATCCGGACGACTAAAATTAAACTAAATATTTGCATTGGAAAATTGGTTTCGCCACCGTGCTATGAAATTTCTCACTTTGTAGTACACACTTTTTTTCGACCCATCACATGCAATATGATGAAGTTTCAATTACAAGAAGCGCAAATAATTGTGTTAGCGATCCTATGGGTTTCACTGAGTCTCTTTTGACCTTTTACAGTATACCGTTTCACTGCTAATTAAAATGATTTGCAATTTTAAAAATACTTTTGACACTGAACAAACAGGTTGTATCTTTGGACAACCTATAGCATATACCATCATGGAGATGGATGGAGATGCTCACCCATTAAAACGTTCAATGCATATATATATATATATATATATATATATATATATATATATGCACTGTATGGTTATGGGTGCATAAACTATAGCTAGCGCTTAGAATAATGCACAAATTATAAATAGAGTTTGAACTAAAGCTAAAACCAACGAAACATATAGCGGTGATTATTAACAATATGATATCTTTCTGAATTAAATTAACAATATCTACTTTCTCTTTATTTTCAGTTTGGACAGAGATCAACCATTTTCCTTCCAAATTGGCAGTAGTCAAGTGATTAAGGGATGGGATCAAGGACTTCTGGACATGTGTGTCGGTTAGTTTTCGATTTAAAGTTTCTCTACATTATCAAACTACCATTCAAACCTCCAATTGAAGTCTACATTTTGCATTGATTTTTCAAAGGTGAAAAACGAAAACTGACAATTCCGCCGTCGTTGGGCTATGGTGATCGTGGAGCTGGAAATGTGATCCCCGGCGGTGCAACATTGATGTTTGAAGTTGAACTGTTAGACATTGGCAATTCACATCCAACAACAAACGTCTTCAAAGAAATTGATGAGAATCGTGACAACCAATTGAGCCGCGAAGAGGTAAACGTATATGTATGGTCAATTTTCGGTTTCTTTTATGTTTTTTTGTTGTTTTAAAGACGCACCAATACCACTGTGTGTGCGTGTAGTATAATTTTCCGTTGAGTTCTGTAAACCATTGTCATGTTTTTAATATCTTTTTTCTCTGGTCTATCGGAAATAGGTGAGCGAATACTTGAAGAAACAAATGGTAGCTGTTGAGGGCCAGGAAACAGAAGAGGTCAAAAACATGTTGAAAGAACATGATAAATTAGTGGAAGAAATTTTCCAACACGAAGACAAAGATAAAAATGGATTGATTTCACATGAAGAATTCTCAGGACCTAAGCATGATGAGCTCTAGATTTGACAAAAATCCACTTGAAAATCGCGTGAAAAGTATCGCACAATCAAGCTTTTCCGATTTTGAAAAAGAAAAACCTCCTCTTTTCACTTCACTCAATTCAAACATATCAAGAAGAGATGTATTTAATTAATTTTTTGTTGTCACAATTGAATGACTGAAAGGAATAATTAGCATTTTAATTCATTAACATCATCGAATCAATTGTTTAAGTACTCTAATTTAAAACGATGTAAAAGACATTTAGAGAGACATTTGTTGTTTTGTTTTTGTTTTGTACACTAACAATTTCTTCGATTGAAAAATACGGATTAATTGTTTATCGAAACATATCAATGCAAGAAAATTTTCAATAAAAGCTAAAAACCCACAAAACATTTTCATTCATAGATGTATCTAAGTTTCAGGAAAATGTCAGGTAATTAGGCAAACTATAGCAAAAAAAATGCGTGTAATTTCTGTTTAAATAAGCAATTCAAATTCATTTATTTATATTTTACTATCTAAAATATCATTTAGCTTTTGGCGTTGGATTAGCTTGTTTACATTCTCAATGAATTCATCAAAATGTTCATTGCCAGATAGAAATTCGTCTAAATTATGAACTGTTCCTCCATTGCCACTGATCCGATGATCGGTGACTCGACTCTGTGGAAAATTGTAGGTGCGTAATTTTTCATTGCGTGTACGGAGACCGGTTTGATTTTTTCGAGTTGTTATTTGTGAAGATACTTGTTTAGTGAACTCAATATTCCACAGCTTGTTATGTAATTTCCTCATTGCAATCTGTTTATTCTTCAGCTGTGTTCGCTCCTCTTGGCACTCGACCGCTATACCAGAGGGAATATGAACGATTCGAACGGCCGATTCCAATTTATTGACATTTTGTCCACCCGGAGCACTGGAACGCTTCGTTTCAATACGCAAATCATTCGGATTCAATTTTATTTGAATATCATCCGCACATGGTACAACTGTTACGACTGCTGTGCTTGTATGGATGCGTCCACCTTTCTCGGTTTTCGGTATGCGTTGTACACGATGCACGCCAGCTTCATGTTTCAGCACTTCGTAAGCATTGTACCCACGAACCAGAATTGAAGCGCTCCTAACTCCACCAAGTTCAGTACTATCTTCTTCGATTAACTCATGATCCCATCTCTTGAATTTGATATATCTTGCATACATGTTGAACAAATCACCTGCAAATAGCATGGCCTCTTGTCCACCAATGCCAGCTTGAACTTCGAGCATAATTGAACTCACATCGGAGTCGTTGTCGTTCAACGCAATCACGTCATCAATTATTTCTTCGTCAATTTGAGTCAACACTTCACTGAACCTTTGCTTTTCTTCGCGCACCAGATCGATCATCTCTTCTTCGCTTTCATTAGCTGTTTCACTGGCCAATTCTTTATATTGATCGACAATTACCAAACGATGTTCATATCGCTGCAAAACACTATTCAGCATATGTCCATTTTCATGTGCTCGCCCCGATTGAGTTTCCTTCAATTTGTCCAAATATTCTTTGAGCTTTTTATTTGCGTTTGGATATAATATATGATCTGATATTGAACTTGGCTTCGTCAGTGTCGTACACAACCACTGCCTTGCTGCTTGATTCCGTTTTAAATTGCATAGAATTGCATCATGGAATATTCTACGTGTCACATGCCCAGTAATCCACATTATTTTGTTCATTCATCAACTTTGAAATGCAAAAATATTGAAACATAAAACAGAAAAATCAAGTAGATTTGTTGTAACAAACAAATTTAGGTTAGACATTGAAAACACTGTTGATTTGAATAGATTGACATTTCAAACTGTCAATTCACCTCAGTATGACAGTTCGTATGTCAAGAACTTGCTGTAATGCTGACAATAAATGAAAAGACCGCTCTTACTTGATATATTTATTGGTTTTTTTTTATTAGTCCACTATCGTTGATGATCAAAATATGTTTTGGTTTTTTTCTTCATGCATCTCATAAATAATATTTGGCTGAAATTTCTGATATTTTCTGAGACGCAAACATAGTTTGTACAATCAGAGTTAAAAATAATCTTTTAAAATGCAACTTGTACGTATAAGAATTATATTAATTACAATAACAATAAGAATTCAGCAGCTCATTCAGTTACACAAGGCTGTTGTGTAATAAAAATCACATCCACGTCTACATGCATGTAAAAGTAACATATGATAGAAGATCATATTTGTCATTAAGGAAACTTTTTTCAGTTTTTTTTTTCTTTTTCAATCACTGACATATGGTAAAAACGATGGAATCCAACAAGTTTTGTTCAGAAAGAGGTCAAATAAAATAAAATCTTCAAACAAAATGCATTAAGCCGTATTTGTTGTTCCAGCAGTAAAATTCATTCCATAGCTAGCTAAGCAAATATTCACAATTTTTCAACAATTTTGGTAACTAGGGGGAGAAAACGCACAAGAGTAATAAATATCACATTTCTTCATGAAATAACAAGGAAAGCAGAATAGAATTCATCTAGACACTGAAACAATAGATAATGTCCCGGTCGTAGAAGCTTTTTACGTCATTAATATGGTGGAGTATGTCCCCGTCTATGAGATAATTGGCAAAATCAATGGCACTACGCCGATCATTTGCAAGACCAACGGTAATTAGCCTAAAAATAATTGAGAATTGTTTTAGACCAAATGTCGTTTTAGTTTGTCAATAACACCCAATTGCCACGTACCAGTTTACAAGTGTAGTTCCATAAAATGCTTCCTTATACAGGCGACAATGTGCAAAGCGATCCGATCCTATGGTAGCTTTGCAATTGTCCAAATGATGTCGGATGAATGAATCGCAGATTATCTTTGTTTTCGTATCGTTACTTGTTGCTGACACACTTGATATTGGCGATGCAGACATCATTGACGGGGAATTAACAGTACTATCTGGATTTTGATTGAATCTTGATACCTTGCGCCAGTATCGTTGGATTAATTTGCAAAATTCATCGGTATCGGTGATAAAACACGCCGAAACAAGCATAACTTGGCCAAAATTTAGGAATGCCTCCAAAAATGAAAGCTCAATGTATATACCCGACATTCCCTCCATGATAAGTGTCCAAACGGACAGTGAAATCGACTGAAAGAAAGAAAAAAAATATTTGAACGAAAGCAGAAGCAATTGGTTAAACGGTGATAAAATTGAAAATGGGATAAAACTCGTTTCAACACTTTCGAATTTCAAATCGGGGAAATATCATATAACCTTAGACAAAACTGGGCATTTGAAGGTGACTTCGACGTTAGGTGTCGCTAGTATAGTCGAATCCAATTTCGAAATACCAATGAAAACTTATCAATAGTCGTTTTAGTACTAAGTTTTCGCTAAACTATCCGTAAATCGTCCCATATCATCGCACAAAAATTCAAATATTATATCAATGTGAATTAAATCGCTTACCACAAACATTGAACATAACAGTAAAATTAATACGACTGTGTGCCGTAGACTTTGGATACTTTTGTAGAACTCTTGAAATTCCAATTGTTGTTGCTGTCGGTAGTCGCGGACCATTTCTTGGCAAGCCTGACGAGATGGACCGCTGCAAGCATACGAAGAGCTGCATAATCCATTTGAACGTGCACTCTTGTCATTATCGCCAGATTTGCACAAATCTTCAATGTCAGGAGCGGTTACGTTGCTTGTGCACGTATTACTATTACTATCTTGTGACTGCATTGATGTCGGTCGATTTCTATTACGAGCCGTCTCCTGCTCAATACTTTCTGTGCGAATGTATGTGTTTCGTTCAGCATCATTTATAATTGTATCCTTTGTATCAACCGACTCAGTTGATAGTTCTTTGGTAAGCGAAATATAACTTTCAACGCGCCTCTTATATCTTTGGTGTAGCACCAAACAGCCAACGGTTACTGGAAATTTTTAGTTTTTTTTGTTTAAACATTATTTCGTCAACTTTTTAATGTGAATCAAATCATATGCATACAGTCACTCACAAAATTGTCTGTACACCTCACTTGTTTCAACCAAAAGTCATTTTTTTTTGAAGTTTAGTTATAATTAAATAATACCAACGCCTGTTTCTAAGAGAGAGTATACTCAAGCACACATTCATTGCTTATTTGGCAGAAATACTGAACATTCCAAAAAATCTGGACCCAACATGGGGAAGACATGTTTTGAGGTAGTAACAAAATTGTCTGTACACCTAGGTTTTTTGACGTTTTTCGAACGATTTTTTGATAATTTTGTATTGAGCACGATTGTGCATGAATTCTGGAACAAAAAGCATGAACACTACTCACAGACTATGACAGAAATATCACATATACCCCAGATGACGCCACCAAAGTGGTGAGATGACGAAAATGATCTATTTCGATATAATATGCACCACAAATTCTAACTCTGGTTTTTTCTTCAAGCTCAAATCTGCTGAAATGATGACCATATTGAACGAATCATGCCAAAACTGCTTCAAAAAAGATCTCAATCGTTAAAATTCAATGCCAAACCCAGGAATTATATGTGTAGAATTTCAATACTGATTCATAGCCATCATTTTGTGGCCAAAATTCATTTATTTATGGATCATACAAGCCCCTAAAGCTAGGCAACTGCGACCATTTTCCGTCAAAGTGTTCAAATCAACCTCAAAAACTACCCAAAAACGCTGAATAATTGCAACAAATCAACTGAAATGAATGAAAACTCCCAATGAGGAAAACGTTACAGTTGTACAAATTTTGTGCACAGCTTATGGAGAAATTACATTGGCCGTGTACGAAATGTTTACAACTGTAACGTTTTCCTCATTGGGCTAAGTCTATTCGAAGTATTTCAGCAGATTTGAGCTTGAAGAAAAAACCAGTGTTAGAATTTGTGGTGCATATTATATCGAAATAGATCATTTTCGTCATCTCACCGCTTCGGTAGCGTCATCTGGGGTATATGTGATGTTTCTATCATAGCCTGTGAGTAGTGTTCATGGTTTTTGTTCCAGAATTCATGCACAATCGTGCTCAATACAAAATTATTAAAAAATCGTTCGAAAAACGTCAAAAAACCTAGGTGTACAGACAATTTTGTGACTACCTCAAAACATGTCTTCCCCATGTTGGGTCCAGATTTTTTGGAATGTTCACTATTTCTGCCAAATAACCAATGAATGTGTGCTTGAGTATACTCTCTCTTAGAAACAGGCGTTGGTATTATTTATTTATAACTAAACTTCCAAAAAAATGACTTTTGGTTGAAACAAGTGAGGTGTACAGACAATTTTGTGACTGTATATACCGATATGTATATATTCTTACCGATAAAAGATATGACCAAAACGAAGAGTGAAATGGCTGCTTGAGTATTCCCGTATTGAAAGTTTGGATTGCGTTTAATGCTTGGCATGATATTCTGACGATCAAAAATCAGTAGACATCCTACAATAATTGCTGGTACACCCCAACCAACCGCAATCTGTTCAAGTAGATACCGTTAATTCGCATTACTATTAATTCGATTGAATTTTGAGAAAACGATTTGAAAAAAAATTACTTACAAAAATCGGAAGCAATTTGAGAACAAAACAAAGGCTGCGATATTGAATGAAAAGCAGTGAAATGGCACTGATTCCGCACCAAATTCGGCTGCTCAAACAACCAAATGTGTATAGAATAAATTGAGTGTAAAAGACTGCGATTGATTCAATCTCCAAATATGACCATAATATAACACCAATGCATACAATCGTCTGAGAGATAAGCAAGCAACAGGTGACTTTGTGTGGCATTTTCTGATGTTTTTTCGTTACAACGAATAATATCAATACTGTAACGCCCATTAAGATGCCGATGATAGAAATATCAAATGAAAATGCTTCCAATTCAGGGAAGAAATCCGATGGCTTCAAATTGGTGAGAGAAATCATTTTCGCTGAGATAAATATGATTGGTCCACTTATGAATGTACATGCGACCATACTGCTCGCAATCAAATCGACATCCGCATCATATTTGGTGGCAATCACAAATGCGCCAGGTGCTGAAATGAGCCCAATTGTATTGAATGTTAAATGGTATGGTAATGTCATTGTAATTAAATTGATCATGAAAATAAATTTGATTAGGTTCTCTAAAAACTGGCACTAAAATTTTCATTGGCAATTTAAACCACTTAATTAGGTTTCTTTTTAACTTGATTGTATATATGTGATATATTATGTGACGCACTTCACAACCGTTTTATAACTCATTTTGACCTCGAGAAAAACCCGAAACAGTCACATTTAAACGTTTTCTGATAACTGTGGCAAAACTGTAATAATGCCATTTGTATAGACGATTTTAGTCGTCTTAACTATTAAATATATATTCGAATGACTCTTTTTTTCAATTTTGTGAACTACCTTGGTCTGAAATATAGTTTTACCTGATGGAAAAGTTCCGTAGAGAAAACCGAACGTACTTAGATCGGTGGTTTCGGCAAATGTACTACCCGGATGCATGATGTTTATTGTTTGACGTATCACCAGTGGAAGTACTAGTCTGCGATATATTTTGAAATAACATTCCATAAGCACTATATATATTATACTACATACTACACACGACACTCAACATACTCTTTCATAATTATCAGCACAATTGGAGTTAGAAGCTCGGGTCCGCAAAAATATTTCGTACTGTCCACCATTCGAAGCCCGAGCAGAAATAGGGCTGTAGCTGAAAAAGATTTGCCAAAGATGTCTAGCACACCAGCGATCATAGGTGGTAAACCTCCCAATACAAAACCACCAATAACGCCAAGAACTGTCATGAAGAGAATCGGATTTAATACGATCGATTTTAAGGCTTCTTTTATCAATGTGCTTTTCTTCGGTCCCGGTTGATTTAACGTATTTGGCGTCGGGTCTGCATTTCCCTCCTGAATGTGTGTGAACAAAAGCTCCAATGTACTTCATATTCCAAGCAAATATATATTATTATCGTTAACATACCTGATTTGAGCCCGATGACAATTTGACACTTGACAGTTCGAGCAAAATGTATCCGATGGGATTGAGGATAGCCAACGAGAGAGGTGCCATCAAATACAAATACGATGAATACTCAGGATGAACCTGATGATAGAGCGCATTCAAAATGGGCGATCCAATGGCAAAATCATTGCTTTGCGTACAAAAAATCGCCAAAATGCCTGCTCTGCCGAAGTTGGTAGGTCTTGTCATCAGAAGGGAAACAATGCCAACAGCAAAGAATACAATGCATTTTGAAATGAGAATAGCCAATAAAAATAACCAGTTGACAGTTTTCCAGTCTAAGTTGACAAGCGACGTGAAAATAAGCGATGGTAGTGCAAAAGTTCCAACAAATGTGTTTAATCCTTTGGTATCAACATTTGTAATAATCTTAAGTCGACCAGCGATATAGCTAATTTTATGAGAAAAAAAAACCGGAATTTAATGAAAATGAAACATTTCTTTATCGGGGAATGAATATTTCTTCACAGCACACTCTTACCCGCATAAAATGGTGCCAAAACATTGTACCAACCTGATAATTATAATTGCACAGAAAGATTTATATACATTAAATATAGATAAAATAGATTATTACTCACGCCGGATACAAATCTTCGATGGCTATTTGATCAATTGCTTCTGTTGTTGCTGTTTTATTCGTAGCCATGGTTCACCCTTTGGCACAATTTCGAATTTTAATTCAACAATTTAATACAAAAATTCTCTTGAACAAAAAAAAAACTGATGTTCCTCTTGCCGAATTTGAATATGACCTGACGAGAAATAACGAATTTCCTTCTATCTTTCTCGTCTCATATCTGTAAAGAAAATAAATACAATAGACACATGAGCTGAAATTGCAATAAACTTGTCGTAAACGCTTTCAATTGATACAAATTATTATTCTTCCTGGATTACAACTTTCATTTCGAATGACATGGCTCAATTTCACGAGCCATGGGCTGAGTCAACAACAGACGCGTTAGGAGACTTGTTGAATAGAACATACTATTAAATAGCAGATTTGAATCTTACATTCAATTCCACCTTTTGTACTATATAATTCAGTTTATTGCGTATTTTATGTTCTTATGCAATTAGATTTTGTTTTTTTTTGTTCTTTTGTTTTACTTATTTTCCTTTCTTTCCGCGAAAATATTGTTAACTCTATTTGAAGAATATATTCACACATCGTATTATAGAATGAAAGTTTGAATAGAATGCACGCACGTATCGAAGCTGGCTAAAAATTGTGCGCAAAAAATATTTGGAATTAAGACTCAATTATTTTATAAAATTCGGTTAAACTGTTTATATTGCACGAAATCATTAGAGAAATTCAAGGTTAAATTTTTTTTTGTCATTCCATATGCTACTGTTTCTGTTTGAGCGGTGATTCCCATTTCAATTGCAACACTTCCACCATTATTTTGGTTCATTTAATGGAAACAATAAAAAGTATGCTCACTCGATTTTGTTTATTTTTTTTCGTCAGTGTTTACTTTGTGATAATCCTCATCACACAAGTATTGATTGTTACTTTTCTTTCGATAGTTGCGATCGCTTTAATGTCAACTTGACTGTGATCAGATTTTATAATTTAACTTTTCAATTTCATGATAATAAGTAGTCACAATTTGACACATCTGATAGAAATGTACTGCACCAACTATTTGCTTCACATTGAGTATATGAACGAAAACAGCTGTAGAATGTAATAACGTCACCGTCTAAAGTACTCACATTAGATGGAGCAACGGTTGGTTTTAATACGAAATAAGTACAAAATACATTTTGACTTACAGCACATCGCCATCAAAAATGTGCAAAATACCTGTTCATTCCGTGGCCGTGGTATTTGACAGAAAAACGAATCAAATAGAAACAACAACAATAATATTAGGAGTCGGCAATTTACGTTGTCAAACGACAAATGCTGGATTATTTTTCAAATAAATTGTTCCCTCATTTTATTATAATTTTAATTGGTTCTATTCCTCTAAAAAGTGTGAGTAATTAGTTGTTAGAAATGTCACGGGCTACGCTAGACTATCTATATTTGTATGAGTGAGTAAACACTTTTTTATGCACATTTTTATACAGGCCTATAATTATAAAACCAAAAATATTGTTGTTTTTACAGGCTACTTACGGAAAAAAATGTGGAGAATCAAACGTTAGAGTCTATATCAACGGCTGTTCAAAAACGCTTCTCCAAAAACGATTACCTTAGTGGTAAATGATTGACCATTGTTTAACCTTATCACAACACTCAAGATAATATAGATTTTTTTTAATCATTTTCCCTCCGGTTAGTTGGAACATTATTGACAGCATTAGTTCGTCAGGGCGATTTGTCGGGCATTGTGCAGAAGATTTGCGCCTACTTCGTGATGCAAGACTTATTTCAAGAGAATGGCCATCATACAGAAACTCCGTTCACATCTGTTTTGGTCAATGCGGGCGAATCGATTATAATTGTGTCTAAAGTGAATTTAATTGAAAAGCGATTTGTCACGCAACTTCTGAATTTTGGTACAAGGGATTTGGGCAAGCTAACAACAGCGCGAATTATACAACAAGAGACATTGCCCTTAAAATTGGACTTGAATGCGATTAAGGCCTATTTGGAACATTCAAAAGAATTACCTTCAACCGTCCGTCACTCACTTATGAACATTATTCCAACACCAAGTCTACAGCATTCCGACACAGCCGTTAAGGATTTGATGGAAGGATTCAATCAACCAGACACACCACTGAAAAATGTTTTTCAGCCGGAATTCATAACGGTCGCTCCGCCCATTTGCCCAGTCGAGGACGAATTGATTTGGTTCAATGTTACCAATCCGGCTTGGCACAAACCAATTTATGATATATCACTCGGTTCAATATCAGCGACAGCAACATCAGGCAAACGAAATAAAACCAACGAAACAATTAAACCACACAATTCTAATGATACAGCTGAATCAGATAATTGTTCTGAAGCGAGGCGTATTTTGAAACAAGCTTTTGCTGAGGTACTAAACATACAGGATCGGCAAGTGCTACTGAATGAATTGGAAAAAGATCCGGACGTTGTGAACAACATTGGCTTAACACCAGCCAAATTGCCATTACTTGTGGAAAATAATCCTCTGGTAGCGATTGAAATATTATTAAAATTGATGAACTCGGATCAAATAACTGAATATTTCAACGTTTTGGTTAATATGGAGATGTCCTTATACTCAATGGAAGTTGTAAATCGCCTGACCACATCCGTGGATTTGCCAACGGAATTTGTTTATCTCTATATCAGTAATTGTATTTCAACGTGCGAAACAATCACCGATAAATACATACAAACACGGCTAGTGCGATTGCTGTGCGTCTTTTTGCAAAGCCTCATTCGCAATAAAATTATTAATGTAAAGGAATTATTCATTGAGGTGGAAACATTCTGTGTTGAATTTAGCCGTATCAAAGAAGCAGCTGGCCTGTACAGATTACTAAAACAATTGGAAACAAATCAAATGGAAATGGGTGACGGAAATAGTAGCACTGCACTGCCTACTACATCTACAACGGGGAGCACAGTTGCAGCGGCTAGCCCAGAAATTGCAACGAATACTAATTCAACGTCAAGTAGTTCTACAATCTCAAATGGAAATTCATCAGCGGCCAAATCCAAGGAATAATTCATCAAAATTTATGTACAATTTAAAACAAACAAAAAATGAAGAAGATTAAATGGAAGTCTAACCAATTCGAAATGATTTACATTTGGCTTTATTTTTTATTCAGACTAAAAAGAAAGTTCTTTGATGATTTGCTTTAGTTTCATATACTTCGTGTTAAATCTGACTACAACGATCAGATTCATACTTAAAACTAGGATTATCGGAACCCGGTGTTCATGCATCCAGATGATAGATGTTTACTGCTGTTACTTCTTTCTTTATGTGAGAGTTTCCCCTTTCGTCACACACGCCTCAAGATAATCGATGCGTCTCTCTAATACGGTCAATTTTTCGTTCAACGTCGCCAAACGAGAACGACAACTCATATCTAAAATAAATCAATTAGAATATCATTTGATGTGGGTGATGGAAAGGCAGTTTGTGTGTTTGAAATGGAAAACAATTGGAGTGTAACTTAATGAGTCATTCACAAGTAAATAGTAATACAACTTACCGAAAGAATTGAGAAAATCTGTGATTCGTTTGATGCTAGTTGTTATGACTTCAATATATTCACGATTAGCCCAGTCCTGGTGGATTTGCTTTTGAATCGCTTCCCGATGAACGCCAGCCATATCGAAGAAATGTTTATATAGTTTACTTTATAGTGTTACAGCTTTCTACACGGCTTAAACGGGTAAATATTTTTCCTCATTAATATTTATGCGATCGGAACGTCAAACAATTGAATGAACGCTTTCTAAGGGTATGTTCACCTTATCTAGTATGAATATATGGAACGCACCTCTTCCGAGCAATTTAAATCAATTAGTGGACGAAAAGAAAATACGGAATGGTTTTTTTTCCACATGCTTTATTTATTTATTCCATTAAAAAACTTAAAATTTAGGGTTTATCATTTATTAGTATCATCAGCATCATTCAGAGAGTTGTATCGTTTCTTTAACAAGCAAAGGTTTGCATCGTTTCTGTAAAACTGATAGAAAGTCAATATTCTTGGTCACTTCGTTTTCGTTTTCGGATTCATTGCTCTCATTTGGGTAGTAAATTAGGCGTGAATTGGCATCAATCGTCATTTGATTCGAATTTCCAAGCCGTTGAAGTAAAGACTTGGATCCATTTGGATGCTTTTGCAATTTTTTTTCAATCATTTTTTTGGTGAGTACCAATCTATTGTCAGTGCCAGGTCGAAGTTTGCCCCGTGTAGATGGCGAGTAGATTTTAACTTGTGTGTGGCTATCGTTGGATCGATTGCCGCCCGATTGCCCAGATGGTTTTGTGTGTTTCAGTGTCGATTCATTACTCGCTTCATTGGTCTTTGGTAGCTTCTTTGAACCCCGTTTGCGTTTTGTTTTTTTTTCCGTGCCGATCACTTTGTCTGTTCTGGGCATTTTGCGTTTGTCTTTGCCATTTTCTTTCTGAACACCATCCACATGTAGTTCATCTCCTCCAATGTCAATCGGCCCAACCTCGTAATCATCCATATCATGTCCATCAAATCCGATTGGCGATAGGCTTCGTGGTCTTAAACGCAATGGTGATTCAATTTCGGTTGACCGTTCAAAAATCGCCGATAAATCTTTTGGTTCAAGCGGTGCACATTCGGTTTTCTTTTCCTCTTTCTTCTTCTTCTCCTCCTTGTCACGCTTTTTTGATTGCTGTTTCGGTGGATTTCTCTCCAATGTCATATACTCGTTAATCAAACCGTCAATGTACTTATTATTCTTGTTACTCTTGGATTTATTGATTGTCTTTGATCGCACTGAACATTTCTCTTTCTTCGTTTCCATAGTTTCTGATTTTACTTTGGGCATCTTCTTTTCAACGTTTCGGTCTTTCGTTTCAAAAACAATCGATAAATTTGATGCGAGTGATCGTGGTTTTTTATCAAACGTTCCTTTTTTACCATGGGAATCTTCGATTTCATCGGACTCTGTCAAATCATCGATTTTGGTTGATGATAAAAACGAATCGTTTGGTTTTTTTCTGGATACTTTTTCGGTTGAATTTGTACTGTTGGTAGCGCGTCTGTCTTTATCGAATGTTTGCGCGTTTTTTGATGTGTCATCTGCATTTGGCGGAGCAGTGATTTGTTTTGCTTTTTTTTGCGGACTTTCTAACAATGATTGGATATCCGTTAAGTCGACATTCGCATCGTTGGCAATACAAATGCGCTTTGTTACAGTTGTAGTGGTGGTGGTTGTTTTTGTCTCGACAATAATTGGTTCGCGCGAATTCGCAATGATTTTTGATATTTGCACGTCAGTGCAAATTTCATCAGTCATTTTGCTCACTGACAACACTTCTTTTTTAAATTAATTAAATTAAAGAAAAATTAACTGTTCAACGTAAATTGCACTTTGATGAGAAAGAAAAAAATATTGGGTGCTCAGATATCTACTGAAAGCGTCATTGAATAAATGAAGTCAAATATACGTTTATTTCAAATATAAATAAATATGATGTGCGCCGAAGGTGGCGCCACTGAACAATTTGTATCTAATCGTTTTTGGAACAATAAAACATTTGTAGCATACAATTTGTTTTGATATTATTTTTTCTCCCATGAAATTGCCCAAAAAATATAAATGTTATTTTTGTGAAATTCACATATATTTCGACTTAAAACTGCGTAATGTCGATATGTCACACCGTAACCAAGAGTGACTTTGACAAAAGCTGTCAAATACTGAAAAAAACTATAGAATTACTAAATACCATCACAACACATGCTTCCAAGTGCACTCAAGACGTGTTGTTTTGATTTTGGCTCAGTGCACTTGGCAACTGCTTGTGAATTTTCATTCACAAGACGCAATTTTTCTTTCAATTCTGCTGTTTGATAAATAGAAAAAGAACTTCATCACGGCAAATTCTCTATTTTGGACATTTATCGGTGTGCTTTATTCATTTTAACTTCATTATTGTGAACATGAAGTGCCACTATGAAGTATTGGGTGTTGAACGAACTGCTGATGACAAAACGATAAAAAATGGTAAAATTTTCCGTTGCTTTGTATTAAAATTGCTACAACTAATAGGTTTTTTTTTATTTATTTTCTATAATTCGTAGCGTATCGAAAATTGGCATTGAAATTCCATCCAGACAAGAATTTGGACAACATAGATGCAGCAAAAGAGCAATTTTTATTGGTACAACAGGCATATGACGTTCTATCGGATTCACATGAACGTGCTTGGTATGTTTATTCATTTAAATACTGTCTGAATCAATGTGAGAAAATGTATTGATTTAAAGGGTCCTAGAATTTTATGTGGAAATTCCTTATAATCCGTTTTTTTTCTATAGGTATGACAACCACCGGGAACAAATTCTAAGAGGAAGTCACACAGATTATGAAGATGAATCACTCGATATTTATCCATACTTTACGGCTGCGTGTTACAAAGGATTCGGTGATGATGCGTCCGGCTTTTATGCAGTTTATGCAAAAGTATTTGATCAGCTTGCCAGTGAAGATATTGAATTCATGGATACGCCCGATGAATATGAAGAGATACCAAAGTTTGGCACGTCAACGTCCGATTATGAAACGGTGGTTGCACACTTTTATGCCTACTGGCAAAGCTATTGCACGAAGAAAACATACACATGGCTGTGTCCACACAATATCAGTGAAATCCGAGATCGCCGAATATTACGGGAAGTGGAGAAAGAAACAAAAAAGATTGCACAAAAAAAGCGAAAAGAGCGCAACGACGAGGTGCGAGCCTTGGTGTCATTCGTTCGTAAACGAGACAAGCGCGTGCAAGAATATCGAAAATTACTCGAAGTGAAAGCGGAACAGAATCGAATAAAGCAGCAACAACATCGATTGGCTCAACTGCGACGAAATCAGCAGGAAGCGCAAGAGATGCAACAAACTCAATCAAATTTATTTAGCGCTGATCATGAGGAACAACTAAGGCAGTTAGAACAAGCGTATGGCACAGACAGTGATAGCGAAATTGAGGAGATTGACGACGAGGATGGTGGTGCTGCTTCTGGCAATGAAGATGGTGGTGTTCCCGATGAATATTATATTGATGATCTGTATTGTGTGGCGTGTAATAAGGCGTTTAATAATATTTCTTCTTTTGAAAACCATGAGCTATCGAAAAAGCATCGCGAAAACACCGAAAGGCTAAAAAAGCATATGCAACAGGAAGACGAGGCATATAACAACGAAAGTCAAGGTGTAGAAGATAACAAATCAGAATTGGCATCAGATGATGAAAAAAATGTTGGCATCGAACCGTCAGTCGAAGAAGAATTTGGATCGAAGAAAAAGTCCAATAAAAAGGCAAAAAAATCAAATAAACTGAAAGCAGAGTATAAAAGTGATAACGAAAACGAATTAGAAGACCTTGATAAATCATTGGGATTTATCAATATTGGAAACGTTTCGGATGATAAAGAGGACTGGAATTGTGATGGTGGAAAAAAGAAAAAGAAACAAAAAAATAAGAAATCCGCTAAGAAACCCATCCAAAACGAGCCAGAATCAACTTCAATTGAGAATAAAACGCCAATCGATGCAAAAAAAGGTTTGAATAAAAAGACCAAGAAGTCAGTTGAACAGAAAAGTACTGATATGACCGATGTAGATCACATATGCGTCACCTGCAGTTCCAAATTTGATTCGAAAAACAAGCTCTTCGCACATTTAAAGAAGACAAACCATGGCGTTTATATACCCAAAACAGAGGATAAAGTCAACAGAAAAAAATAAGTTTAATTTTTATATTTATGTCTGCTTAATGAGAACTAATTGCATAATTGAATAAAAACAAATAACTATATACTGTAAAAATCTATATTTTGTAGTTTTTATCATAATTTGAACATTTATTCAAAGGATTTTGTTGTGATTTCATCTCCGCAGCTCTTCAGCTAAAATTTCATTTATATTGGGCTTGATAGATCGTTTTCCTCTTATTCCAACTCGTGGTGATATAGGTTTGTCCAATATTTCATCTAGAGTCTGGAAAATATACATAAAAATAGTGGACGATATAAGCTGAAATCTTTTCGGAAATTTTTTTATGACAATTCTTCAAAATGCTTACCTCATTTGTAATGCGCCCATTTGCAATGAGTTCGTCATAAATCTCTTGAAACTTGACCTGGGTGTTTGCTGTTGAATTATGTTTCATTCGCTGTTGAATTCTTTGAAGCTATGAAATATAAAATAAATCGAATTACATAGACCCCTGAAGGGAATTAAAATTGATTTACTTACAACATCTGTTGAAATATATTTTTTAGAGAACTTTTCATCATTGATCCACGTTGCAAGTGCTTCGTTGATTTCGTTAGCATATCCCAAATCAGCCAAAGCCAATAATTTTATTTGTTCGGTGAGATTTGTAAAATCGGAATCTTTTAAGATTTGAACGGCCAGAGACGGTTTTTCTTGTTTTAAAGCTAGGGCTGCAATGAAAGCTACGCATCTTCTGAACTGTGTTGATTGCCCAACATTGGACCATAAGTTTTTAGCATATTCAAAAGATTCGGCTGTATTCTGAACGAACATTAACCTATCATTAGTTTCTGATTCAGTTTTAGATGATAACTAATTCAACCTACTAATTTGTAACTGGCACCGAAAACTAGAACGTCAATAAATTTTGTAAAGTTTGTTCTAGTCGACCAAAGGTGTTGTCGTTTTTTCGAATCAATTTTCAAAATTTCACCATACTTTCCATTTACATATAGACAGTCTAGACAAATTAAGGTGGATTTGAACCCGCCGAAAAATTCGCTCAATTTTGGATCATTGTATAGCTGAAAATAATTATTTTTATACATTGCAAATTAAATGAATTGATGATCAACTTTACCTCAATCGCAACATCTGGCAGATTCATTGAATAAACCATCTTCATCACTAAATTTCCGATGGAACGTTTTGCTTTATCGGTTGCACTTTCAATGGAATCAAATGCATACAATGTGCTCTTTATCAAATTTATATCCTCTGGTTTTGCTAAGTGTGCTAACACTTCCAAAGCAGCTTTCAATCGAAGCGCATCCATCTCACTCTCGTTTTCCACATATGCTTGTAGTTCCCATTTAAATTTATTGGGCTCAGTAACATTATCAAATGCCTCTTGTCTATTATTTTGGTAAGCGGTCAAATCTAGCGTTTCAACGGTGAACAATGTTCTAGCTGTCGATTTTTGGATAAAAATTTATGGTGAAATTAAGAACGAACATACAACAAATCCATCAATTCTTACCATTTTGTCTCAATTGCTGAAACTTTAACAAACGCACACATCTTTTTGAAAATTTTAAAAAGTTCATATTGTTTTTATGTATACAACAACTTGACTACCACAAAATCGAGGTTATGTTAAACGTCAACCAATCGGCGACGGAAAGAGACAGGAGAGAGAGCGATATTCGTATCTATGTATTTTTCATCTTTCTCTTCGTTAATTAATGATTATTATTTTTAAAAAATCTAATTTGCTCCAGTGATGATGGAATGAAAAAAAAGATATAATGTAAAAATATAGGAAGTAAAACACCTGGTTGTTTTTGTTTTTTTTTTTTATTGCCAAGTGTACATACTTAGTCTGTATAAAATTCGCTCAGAAAAATAGTTTACGTCATCGCAATTTCAAATCGAAATAATCAAAACTATTTCTTGGTCTTCTTCTTCTTCTTGGATTTTTTCGATTTTTTCTGTTTTTTATGCTTTCTCTTCCGTTTTTTCTTGCGCTCTTCCGATTCTGAGCTCGAGTCAGACGAGTTCGAATCCGACGAAGAGCTACTGGAAGAATACGAAGAACGTGAGCGCTTCCCACTTTCATGTTTCGTTTTACTCTTCGAGCGAACCATGCGATGGTCAGTTGATTCTGATTTGAGTATCGATTCGTCACTTTGATGTGGTTCATAGTTCGGCTCGAAATTCGATTCATCGATATCCTGACGCTTTTGATCCAAGGATGTATTGACCCTTTGACTTTCTGCATTTGACTCGGATCGTTTTCGACGACGGTCTGATGTAAACTTATCTTTGGCTGATGAACGATCAACTGAAGCGGTACCCTCTGAAAGTGAAGCATCTTTTTTGTTATTTCCATTGAGATAGAATAAATTTAAATATGGTCAAATCTGTTTACCTTGTTGTGATTTTGTTCGCTCTTCTTCGCGTATTCTGGCTCGAACTCTAGCTTTATGAAGCTCCCGCTCCCGTTCAGAGTCCCGTGTTGCTTTTTCTACTTGAACCTTATGCTCTTCACGTCCCAAATCCAATGGAGAATCTTTGCGATCCCGGCGGCCACTCTTTTTACCATCTCTAACCTCTTTTGTGTCACGATTTTCACTAGAATTTCGTCCTCGTTCCTTTTCTCGGTAACTTTTTTCTGATGGTTTTTGGCTATCGTTGCGGCGTGTGACAGAACTATGACGGTTATCATTGCTTTTTGGACTTCGATATTTTCTATCTCGGTTATCGCGTTGTCTTCTTTCATTGTCGCGACTTCTGCGCTCCTTAGATCGCCTATTGGCCGATACATCATTTCGGCTATCCGTAATAATTTTGCGTTGTGGTGTTCGGCTTCGACTTTTAGTGTCTTCGTTTAATTTCTTGCCCAATCGTTCCTTGATGGAACGGATTGGCGTTTTGTTGCGTTGCTGTCTCGAACCGCTTTTGATCTCAACGGAACGTTCTTGTTCCGAATTGACAACTGTTATTTGCACTTGTAAATCATCGGTCTGCTTATCGGTCGCATGTCCCACAGGTGGCATTGATTTTTCGTGCTCATTTGTCACCACCGATGACTCATTCGAATACAATTTTTGACGTTCTGGACAAATTTTCTTTATTTCGATCGGCCGTATGGCATTGATTGCTCTCGCAAAAATGGCATTCTCAGCTCGTTTCAACACTTCATTGGTGACTTTGGTTTGATCGTCAACGGGTGTTGAATCAACCAATGCTATATTGAAATTGAAAGAAAAGGAAACGGTCATCAATGCTTTCATCACAAATATGTAAAAGTAGACGTACATTTTTCAGCTAATGAATCTTCGTCGCGTTCCCATTTTGATGGTTCAGGTAGTGTAACAAATGACTCTTCAGCGACAGCTTGTTTCATTTGTGTCATTTCCGATTCGCTCTCGGGTAAATCGGTTTCTTCAAAGTCCACATTTGTATGTATGTCTAGGATTGAATCGAATCTGTTCAATCTAGGTGGGCTATTTGTGATACCAAAGTCTTCATTAGGATTATTGTTCTCCCCGCTTTCCACTTCCATATTGATATCACCATACAAATCGATATTGGCATCCTCGTCAGCCGGCGCAAGCTTATGCATATTTTTCTGAAGTGATGAGATAATTAAGAACACATTCGGTTTCTAATACGATTTCTTGCTAATTACCTGTTGCGGCAGCGGCGGTGGTGTTGTCGAGTGACTGAACGAAGTTTCCTCGTTTGTGTCTTGTAACGCTTTGCCAGGTGGTAATTCCTTTTCAATGGAATTTGCATGTTTGTTATCTTCATTGCCTGAAGAGTAGTGCGAATGGCTTTTGTTTGATTTTTTGCCATCCTTATCGCGCTTCTCCTTCTTATCCTTCTTACGCTTTTTCTCAATCGATTTTTCTTCCTTCTTTTTCTTTTTCTTGTCTTTGGATTTCTTTTCGATATAATGTTTTTCTGTGGATTTCAAAGAAGTTTACTTTAGAACTGTTATTTAATAGTCTATTAACTATTTGTCAATTTTCAAAGAGTAAGACAAATCTTTGGAAATTGGTCAATGAATTATGAGAACGAAAGTGTGAGGTGAAATGACATAAATTGAGATTTATCCAACTTTGATCACTTAAAAAATTCAAAATACCTTTTTCTCGGTCCTTTTCTTTTTCCTTTTCCTTTTCTTTCTCCTTTTCTCTTTCACGAACCGATTTTTCCTTTTCGCGTTGATCCTTTTTCTCCGATTCTTTGGGCCGGCTACTTGATTCCTTTTTATCTTCTTTTTCATATTTTTCATATTGATTTCGATTTTCCCCACTCTTACTTCGTATTTGTTCACGCGATGATGGTGACTTACTGTGATGTTTCCGCTCAGACCGGTCAACACGTTCTCTCTCATTGTTTGGTCGCGTCGGAGATCGACTATCTCGATTGACATGTGGACGTGATTGATGTTGAGAATGTTGTTCCTTTAAATTGAACAATTTCAATATTCGATAAATTCAATCCTTTTTCAGACATAATTGTTAAAATAAATAAATGAACCAAATTAAAAATTACCTCATTTTCAAAGCCAGGTGGAGGTGGTTCACGATCAACTCCTGGTGGCAGCACATCGTACGAATTACTCGAGTAAGATTGACTCGCTTCATTACTGTAGCTATTTGATTCAATAGGATGAATTTCTTGAACCGCATGTCCAATTTGCGATGCAAACTCATGATTTGGCTGTAGACCTCCAACGTGGACATTAGATGGCGAGTGCATTGGCACCGGTGCATATCTGCATGGTAATTAAAAAAAAATAAAACAAAAAGAAAATACATCTTATATTTCAGTCAAAAGTAATGTAATTCGTTTAGTTTTTGTCACAGATTTGTGCTCAACCTGAATGCTTGACAAAAAAGAAATGAAAAATTTTCAAATTCTCTGGATAAAAAGAAAAAGGAGATAAAGAGTCAATTTGTAATAGATCACCACTGCAAATCCGGATTCTTCGATTCGCAAGCGAAGTGCTCTTTATAGAATTACCTTTATATGCACTTTATTCAGGCATAAAAAGTATAGAAATTTGTAATAAAGTTCGATTACAAATGTTTCATTCAGTTTCAATTCAAATACTTTTTTCGTATTTCAAAACATGAAACCCGTTCTGTCATCAATTTTGCCTTCACTCAATTTCGGTCGATGTCAGTTTTTCCGTCAATCCATGTGTAGCGTATTTGCATCAATATTGGGAAGGTCTTGATCCAGCATAAACTGTGTCGACCAAATGCTGCGTGCACACGTGTGCTGATTCCATATCTTCACGGTTTGAATTGACCCGAATCTTGATCTTCCATCGCACATACAATCGAACAAACTTAATTCACGTTGAAACAATTCCGAGGCAATTTAAAATATATCTAGAAACGTTTCGCACAATTACACATTTTGAACTAAAAACAATATTTATCGTTTACTGCTCACTGAATTCAAATTAATTTATTTCAATTGTTCGGCTTTTAATGTGTGTGTGTTTTTTTTGTTCGATTACTATCGATATAGGAAGTATGTCCGTTTTGTTTCACATTTTCTTTTCAAAATGAGTTGATGAGTTGGACTTTTCCCGGCAAAAAATGCTTTTTTGATGAGTTGCTCTGTGATGTTGCAATCTGGAATCAATCTGCCGAAGAAACTGTAGGATTTTCCACCGTAACGACTAGATGTAACTGCTAATTTAACTTAATTTGACTTTCTAACTAGCGAAGGATGTTGAACACCGCAGCAAATGATGTAGCAAATGATGAAGCAAATTATGTAGCAAGTATATATTAATTATTATATATTATTATTATATAATTATTATTTTTAAATTAAAGAGAAAAGAATTATGTATCAATTAATAGTGTTCACAAAAATAGTATAAAATTCTATGATTTAAATTGTTCATGTTTTTGTTCATGTATTGATCCAAAGAGAATGAAC